ATTGAAGCAACTGCCATGTGATTGGCTGATTAGATAATTGCATTAATGAGAAATTGAACAGGTGTTCCTAATAATCCTTTAGGTGAGTGTATATAAAATATATGAATATAAAGCTAGCTTCACCATGGTTTTGGAGTTAAGGTTTTAACCTGTTTTCTGGAATATTTCGGTATAGTTCCGTATATCCCCACATACACTATATTGCCAAAAGTATTGGGAAACCTGCCTTTATGCACACATGAACTTTAATGACATCCCATTCTTAATACATAGGCTTTAATATGGAGTTGGCCCACCCTTTGCAGCTATATCAGCTTCAACTCTCCTGGGAAGGCTGTCCACAAGGTTTTGCTGTTTATGGGAATTTTTGACCATTCTTCCAGTAGAGCATTTGTGAGGTCAGGCACTGATGTTGGACGAGAAGGCCTGGCTCGCAGTCTCCACTCTAATTCATTGCTAAGGTGTTCTATCAGGTTGAGGTCAGGGTCTGTGCAGGCCAGTCAAGTTCCTCCACACCAGACTCGCTCATCAATGTCCTTATGGACCTTGCTTTGTGCACATGTGCGCAGTCATGTTGGAACAGCCCCAAACTGTTCCCACAAAGTTGGGAGCAGAATATTGTCCAAAATGACTTTAAATGCTGCAACATTAAGAGTTCCTTTTACTGGAACTAAGGGGCCAAGCCCAACGCCTGAAAAACAACCATAAACCCCTCCACCAAACTTTAAATTCTACACAATGCAGTCAGGCAAGTACCATTCTCCTGGCAAATGCCAAACCCAGACTCGTCCATCGGATTGCCAGACGGAGAAGCGTGATTTGTCAGCTAATCTGAAGGCCACCTGAACTTTGGAGGTCTGTACCTATTGACTCTGCAGACAGTGGGCGACTTCTGCACACTGTGTGCCTCAGCATGCGTTGTCCCCACTCTGTGATTTTACCTGGCCTACCACTTCATGGCTGAGTTGCTGTTGTTCCTAATTGCTTCCACATTGTTATAATACCAGTAACATTTGACCGTGGAATATTTAATAGTGAGGAAATTTCACGAATGGACTTATTGCACAGGTGGCATCCTATCATGGTACCATGCTTCAATTCACTGAGCTCCTGAGAGCAACTCATTGTTTCGCAAATGTTTGTAGAAGCAATCTGCAAGTCTTTTACACCTGTGTCTATGGTAGTGATTGGAACACCTGAATTCAATGATTTGGAGGGATGTCCCAATACTTTTGGCAATATAGTGTACGTCATCAAGCGAGAATTGCAGGGAGGTATAACCGAAAGTGGGTTCGGGTTTAAACCTTACTATGACTCCACAGTAAAGTTGGCTTTATATTCAGTTTTCTGTAATATCCAATCAAAAGCAAGCTTTTGGTTTTCCAAAGGTCTTTAGTACAGTTAATAGTAACGAAAAATATTAATGGACACAGTACAGTAATTAGTAATGGAAAAGTATTGCGAGGGAATGCAAAACTATTTCAAAAAATATTTTCCCACCCAGAGCTCTTAGTGGCTTTGTATACTGCAGCTGATCTGTGGGGAATCAAAATCAAAAATATATTACTATTCATAAATATTTATGTAATTTATGACCTTGATCCATATTTGCAGATTTTTGTCCAATTACTACTGTAGCTGATCTGTAGAAAAATACAATAAATACGAGGTGCAGCTTTGATGTATATCATTATTAGGATATGAGATTAATTGTATCGGGATATGAGATTTTGGTCGTATCGCACAGCCCCTCTTGGTTGTGTGCTTGTGTGAGTCAATCGAACATTTATGGCGTCACATTAGAGTCAAAACTACCACACGTAAATATGCCACTCGCGAGCGCAAAGTCAAAACTCACACGTGTAAATATGCCACTCGCGAGCGCTAAAGTGAAACTCGCAAGCACAGGACGAAGAGCTGCGTGCGCATTCATCATAATATCCTTTGGTTGCTCTCTGTGCTCGAGGGAAATTTCTGCGTTCGCATTCTGCCGGGAGGAGATTTTGACAGTTTGGGGGCGGAGTCATGCCGTTTCTGACAGCGAACGCTATTGGCGGATGAAGTCTATCTATGTTATAAATATAATTTCACCAGTTCTCATTGCCCCCTTGCCTGTTTCCCCGTCAATATAAAACAGATAGTTACAGAATGCAGCGACACACGTTATTGGGATGCTGAGGTAGGCATTAGCTTCGGCATCTCCATACGGTAAAGTAACGTTATCATGTGTTACGAGTTTCCATAGACCATACATAATTACTACACCTCGTCATGCAACCACTTACGATGAGAGTTACATTTTGTATTTTGATGCTTTCAGTTGCTATTTGAACATTGTGGGTTAGACTATTCTGTTCTATAGTACTGCAATTTAATGCCCCTTTGGGAATTGATTTATTAAAAAATATCTTCACATGGGGACACACTGAATTGTCCATTAATCACAGTTAAAATGTAAGGGTATAACTATAAGTTACGAAACCTGTCAAAAGGCAAACTTTGACAGTATGATCGGATTGATTGAAAACTACATCGGAGGATGTAGGAATAATCCCCCTATAATGACGCACTACAACAAAATCGAACGCGACATGAAAAGTTTTCGCCTGTTTAATAGGCCTCTAGACAAAAAGGTCAGGGTCATCTACGACAAACGCAGATTGTTGACTAGCGGGGAAACTCTGCCTTTTGGTTACTGAAATGTAAAACAGTCTTTAAGATGACTTGTTAAACGATAAACATACCTTTTAACATTATTCAAAATTATAAGAAAGAATTTCTTGTAAACTTTTCTTCATTGCTTTAAATTTTCAAGAGATTCAAACCTGGCCATATTATCCTCCAGTCTGCTGCATGAACTGCCTGAGGCAGCAGACGTGGTTGGCTGGACCTGCCTCTTGACCACTTCTTTTCTTTGGCCTGTCTGCTGCTTTGTCCCTGGGGGTGTTAACATATGGTCTCTCTGAACCTGAGCTGCATCTACGTTATCCGTTTAACAATGCATCTAAATGTCTAAATGATTAACTGAAAGTAAATGAATAAAGTCAGTACTAAAAACATTACACTAAAGTCTTTATCTGGAACTAGTTTATAATATCTGACACCATGGAGACAACTCAGTGTGTTCAAATAGCAACTGAAAGCATCAAAATACAAAATACTACAACTACGTTAGTAATACTCATCGTAAGTGGTTGCATGACGAGGTGTAGTAATTATGTATGGTCTATGGAAACTCGTAACACATAACGTTACTTTACCATATGGAGATGCCGAAGCTAATGCCTACCTCAGCATCCCAATAACGTGTGTCACTGCATTCTGTAACTGTATCTGTTTTATATTGATTTATCATTTATAGTAATCATTTATAGTGATTTGCACACTTTTTTATTTGTTTTGAAATTTGTACTTCTAATTTGAAGGATCTCCTTCACACAAGGGTTACAGATAGAAGAAATTGGAAGGAAGAATGTGAACCTTTGTGAATAATACTCCTAACATCAGCTGTGGTGACTACCTAATCCATGC